ATATATATATATATATATATATATATATATATATGCTGTGGGGTAAATATAGAGAGATTCAGTGGTGGGCACAGCTAGCTAAAAAGTTAATTCTGCCAAAGCTGAAACAATAATTCAACAAGTAATACTAAAGTGTTATGTCAACATGGTATTTGGTGTAAGCTAATACTAAAGAGTTAAATAGTATTAGTGAAACCAACACTAAACCACTAATTCCACATGTACTAGCAAATGCTAATGGTAAAACACTAATACAACATAGTATGGGAAGCCAACATTGCCATGCTAATTTGACACCATTAAAGCTAAAGCACTAATTCAAAGCACTATTTCCACATGTACTAGCAGATGCTAATGCTATGACACTAATATAACACAGTATACACAGTATTAGTGGAAGCTAACATTACAAAGCTAATTTGACTATAACAGAGCTAAAGCACTAATTCAAGATGGTATTAGTGGAGCTAAAGCTAGTGGTGCGTTCACACCAAGCACATCTGACGCGTCTGCATTTTGGTGCGTTCACACCAAATGTACTAGACACGTCAAGCGCGTCCAACGCTCAAAACTGTTCAAATCACGCCTCGCTAGACGCTTGAAACGCGCTGCAAAGATCCTCGACATGCCTCCACATAGACTGCGAATGTAAACCAGACACGTTTGGTGTGAATGCCATGAAGCGCTAAAGGGATTAATCAAGAAAGCCTGCACCAAAATCAGTTTGTTGCCTGGGGAACAGCCTAAAAATGTTTCCAGACACAAGAGAAGACTGAGGGTGTAATTACTGCCAATAGCCACGGCCTTGACGTGACATCCTTTTATGCTCAAGTGTTTACAAAAATATCTTAAAATCTTACCATCACAAGACTGTCGGTGTAGATAAAAAAAAAATGAAAATTTGTGTTTTTTTCTTTATTTGAAGCAGGGATGACATGTTCATAAATAATAAATAAACCCAGGTAAATAGAAAATACTTTATTTGTCATCAATGTCTGATGGACAAGTTATCAGCAACAGTCTCATGGACTTGTATTGCAATAAAAACAAACCTACACACTTCTTCATAACGACTTGATCACAGAATCTGAAGCTACACAGGCACACTGATCAGAAACAGACAGCACAAAACAAAAAAAGTGTTTGCATACATTAAAAGCAGAAAAAAACTTCTGTAGTATTCTTTAAGCAAACAGCAGTGATGCATAATCCAGAGATGTTTGAAAAGTGCTGAACACTAACGTGCCATCCTAAACACACGTGTGGGTCACCCCCCCCTCCCCCTACAGGCACTTCACTTTTTGTGACTTTTGACCCCAGAAAGGCACCATCTCAGTCAGGCTGAGGCACTCAGAGGGGAAAAGTAGTGTTTGACATAATGTAACAAAGTCAGTTTTAAAGTGTTTGACAGTCAAAGCTTTAACTGCACGATGAAAATGATTAGAGTTTAGAGTCAGATAGAGTTTAAAAAGCAGATACGCATCGATTTTCTTTTCAGTCTGTGTGGGAATCTGAAATGATTAGACTGTTTTAACACAGCAAAAGTTAAAATATGGAATGTTTTAGAGTGAAAAAAAAAAAAACGCAGGATCAGATCGGAGATAACCAATCTGCTGCAGCTTGTTATTCTAACCGTAGATATTTGGCACTGGGACAAAATGGTGACAACTTTACAGCATTTCCTCACCGAGTCACAACATATTATAACATTAGTGCCCTGCACATGTGCGAGGGGACAATTCAAGTGCATCTATACCGCCACTGTGTTTTTTTTAAATAAAAAAAGTGAAGTCTATGATGACAAACATGATTTCATGGCATTAATGTAACAGAACAATTGCATTTTCTGGTGAAACATTAACAGTAATTCAAGATCTCCCTCTGCTGGTGATCTTGCATCATTGCAGGCACTGAAATTGATTTAAACCGCAGCATCCGAGTTAAAAACAAAACAAAATGATGAAAAAGCAGGCTGGAAAAAAAAAATCCCTCAACTAAAGCCACACTACGAACACTAAGCAGCTAAAATAATTATACAGAATACAGTTCAGATTTGGTTTCTTATAAAAAGTGCTACAAGCTTCATGTTTAAAGTGATTGTCTAAAATAAGACAGAATGAGGAGGAAAAAATTGCTCAGTATCTCGTTTCCTTCATAAGGCGCTTAGTGGGTGTAAAAGGAAGAAAAAAACATGACTAGCACTAACAACATGTTAATGTTAAGGAATGTATCCTAGATATCTTCCACATATTCAATGTGAATCATAGCAACCTTTCAGGGCTAAAATGTTATCAGTTTTGCACATACGTCTACTGCTATATATTAATTTTTAGCTTGCAATCACTTCGTTTTATTTGGAATCTCTTGTCCCCTGAAATAAATGTTTAAATAAAAATAAAATGTCATGAAAAAAAATAAAGAAATAAAGCTAAATCTCTTCATTTTGTTGTCGCTATCAAACACAAAAAGGCGCCCAAGCAGAGGTGTTGTTGACCAGATTCTTCCAGCGAGCTTTACTTTCAAGTTTCTGACCCAGAGGTCAGCGGTTCTGATGGGCTTCGGTGTCGAGTGGAGTTGGATTGAGTGGCGATGCGAGGCCTGGGAGCGGCGTTACACGGGCATGTGCATCTCGGAGTATTCGTCATGACAATCGCGCTCGTCAAAATATGGTTCTGCATCATCACCGTCCAGCTAAAAAAAATAATAAAGAGAAGAAAGATGGATGTATTAATTTTCCTATATGTTAAAGTTTGATGATTTTCTATGATTTACAACTTAAAAACAAAAATGTAAAATGAAAACAAATGTCCTGTAGTAGTATTGTAGAAATAAGCTGGTTAGTTTCATGTTACTTTTGCATAATATTTTAAACCTCGATTCTTATGCATCATGATGTCCGTCTTATTTTTAAAGTTTTGATTGAGCTTTTATCATCAGGTGATTTCACAGAAAAACCAGAGGAAATGGCAACATACTGAGGCGCAGAACACAGTGTAGCCAGAAGGTGGCGACTGTCTTCCTCTTACATCCTGTTTTTATATTATTTCTTGTGTAAATATTTTCCTTTTGCTTCTTTTAATAGAACTACAATAATAAATATGTTATTCCACTGTCAAAAAAGTACTTTGAGTGTTTGATTCCTCCTTCCATGTTTAAGAAATCCTTCAATCTCCATGGCAACCATTCAGCCTATGCAAAACGCCAGGGTGGACCTAGCTCCGCCTTCCAGGCGCAGCTCCTCCTCTGAGCTGCATTTTCAGACCTACATTGCAATCCTCCCCCACTCAAGTCCTTTAGTCTAGCCAGCAGAAATTAGCATAAACTCTGGTAAAAATGTTAAAGGGTTAATAGAGGAGCCATGTTCTGATGACTTCCTGAAGGCAGAGTTTCAGAAAGAGCAACTTGAAATTGGACACTTTCAAGTTGTTGAATTACAAAGTGAAATTTCTTTTAAGTCATATTTGAAATGCATATAATTTGGTTAACAATTGAAGGCTACAGTTTCTCATAGTGGCATTTTTATGCTCTAAAATGCCACCATGCCTGGAAAACACAATTCTGCCCTTTTGACATTTTTACCTGTGCTGCATTGAAGTAGTTCATATAATGAGCTCAGCAGATGCATGCCAGGTCCACCCAGGAGTGAAAGAATCAAGGCACCACTCCAGTCACATGATGCAAAACTCCAAAAAGCTGATTTTACATAATACTGCCTCTTTTTGTTAAAATCCTGTCTTTTTGGGAAGGTTATGTCCAGCAATTTTGCAGTGTTATTGCAAAAGTAAAGCTCAACAAATGTAACTGCAATATTTTTTTTTAAAAAGTTGAATTTTTCACAATGTTTTTCATAAATTCAGCAATTTTAGGCTGCAACAATCAAATAAAAACTTGACTTACACATGCCATCTCTCTTTCATTGAAGACGCGACGCAGCACGAACATCTTGACGGGGACAGTGAGGAGGAGGACAAAGGGGAAAGCCAGAGACGCCTGGGTGGACATGACGGCCCAAAGGACGGCCAAGCACACCATCTGGATGCAGGTGAAGAGATGCATGCGCCACGTACGAACCTGACGGACACAAATCAGTCCAGTTTACCACCGGGAAACGGACATTTCATATCAGTACATGTCAACTGATATGATGAAACACTTATATACATTTTAATTATTTAATTACTGATTTGTTTTTTTTTTTTTGTTGTTGTTTTAAATATCTGAAATACTGCCAAACTGGTGGCATAATATTCTACTTTATTCACAATTTTCACTTTATTTTTTAGCAGTTATGAGGAAAAGTGTTAGAATCTTAAACTGCCGCTGTTGCTAGGTAACCAAAGTTGGGGGTGGAACTTGAATCTGCTTCTTACCCAGCAGGTTGTTGCTAGGTAACCAAAGACTGAGTCAGTTTGTTCATTCCACCAACCTAGCTTAGCTGGCCATAAGAGGTTAAAGCCTTTTCTCTGCCTACATCTCCCAGAATGCTGTGCAGTTTTGGATCAGAGTTCAATGAATATTCCATATTTTGAATATTCCATCACCAAAGAGTTTCCACCCAGCAGGCTAAGTATTGTTTATTTACTATTAATAACAGTGATAGCAAAGAAAAGTTAAAGAATCTCTTTGGTGAAACTTCAGTAAATAAAGTGACAAGTCACAGATAAAGGATAAAAAAAATGTTTGGACACTTTAAAATTTTATGTTTGCCTCTTAGACTTTATAGTTAGTGTTCAGGTTTTTGTTAATGCCATCCAATGACATAAGTTCCATTTTATTTATTTAACTCATTTACATGGTGAGCCGCTGGATGCCTGCCCTGGCGTGTTTTCTGGGGGAAACGCTGCAACAGATCTATCATCTGTTGATATCGATCACGCGTTTTTAATCTGGACTCACCTTGCGTACGTAGGTGTGGTCAGGGTGATACTTTGGCGGCATGAGGAGCAGCATCATTCGCTCTGTCAGCTGGATGCCATTGAGCGACATCACTCCCATGTAGAGGAAGATGCCAAACAACACGGCGAGGGGAATCTGACGCAGCAGGTCGCCGATCACAATGGACAGACCTGGACACAAACTCCACCAGTAAAAGAAGCTTTAATGGGAGCAAAAAGGTCCCAGTTTGACACTCACCAACCAAGACGGCGACCAGCAGCCCGGTGACCCTCTGCTCCTTCACCTCCTGGATGCGAGGCTTGTCTCCAGGGGCGACGGCTTTGCTCATGACCGTCAGGGCGTTGACGTGGGTCACGGAGCGAACAGTGGCGGCGGCCATCCACGGCAGCCCGAAGAGCGCCGAGGTGCCACCGAGGACCACGATGAGCAGCAAGTCCAGGTGGAAACCAGAACCCTTCAGCAGCATCCGCTCTTTCTTACTGACGATGAGCCTGAAGGAGAGAAAACAAGGAGAGTTTATCTAGAAAATCAAGCCTGATGCGGAAACGTAAACCTGAAGCTGCAAAATAAACAGAAACAGATGCTTACGACACATCTAATACAGCTGAGGAAGGAAGGGAGGATAAAAAGGCAAGCAAGGGAACAAGACAAAGCAAGGAAGGAGGAATTCAAAAAAGGATTAAAAGCAAAGAAAGCAAGGTTAAAAGGGAGGAAGCAAGGAAGGAAAGACAGAAGAAAGGAAAGCTAGTAGGAAGGAAGAAAAAGTGGAAACAAGGGAGCAAGAAAGGAATAAAAAGACAACTTGAAGGAAGGACAGAAGGAAAAAAGGAAAAACACAAGGGGGAAAGGAAGTAAGGGAAAAGGACAGAAAGAAGAAATCATTCTCCTTGATTTCATCTCCAGACTCAGAGGAGAGCAGAGAGTCTTCAGGTTTCTCAGCTTCCCGTCTGTTTATTCGCTGATTGACCATCTAGGTTCAAATCAAAATGGCGCCTGCGGTTCTTCTCACGTTGTGATCTGCGTCTCCATGAAGATCAGGATGAAAACCAGCAGCGCGGGAAGACAGCAGGCGAACATCATCCAGACGGGGAACCGTCCGTCCGAGCCCAGAGGATTGATGATCCAGCCTCGCTTGTTGGGACTCGTCACAGAGAAACCGCTGGGGACGCTCAGTTTCTGGACAGAGGACAGAGACGACACTCAGCAGCGTTTGGACAGGAGGGAAACCAAACCACTGAAACCAACCTGAGTATAAGTGTCTTCTATGCTGTAGTCCATCAGAACCATGATCAGGATCGCAATGGGGACCCCGAAGTCTCCAATAATCCTGCGACACTAGAAAATAAAACGCAAACTGGTTGGAAACGAAGAGGTGGAAACAACCAGTTACAGAATGTCGCTTCAGCAGGTTTCACTATGAACATTTAGCTAAATATTCAGTTCCTCCAGGAAGTTGTGATCGCAACTATTGATGCAAATTTTACAATCACTGACATTTTCTGTATTTCCCATTTTTCTGTCATTAAAAATGACATGCTCATACAATCTTCAACAGAGAAGATTAACTCAAGTTAATAAAGCTCTAAAATCATCTCAGCTTTAGTTTAAATAGTTGAAGATAATGACCCCGTATTGGAGAGGTGCCCAAAGTGTGGAGTGAGGGCCATTTTCAGCCCCTGCACAGCTTTTTACCAGCCCATTTAACAAAAAACATTTCCAGTGATGCTGAATACTTTTCATTGCATAAATCAAACTCTCTCACCCTCCCGGGGAAAAAAGCGCTGTTCTTGAACTTCCGCAGGTAAAAGGCGATGAAGAACGTTCCGGCCATGAGAACCAGAGAAAGCAGTGCCGTGTTAGGCTCCCCGGTAACCGTGACGACGTGGGTGTCATTGTGCTCCCTCATCGTTCTGTTTCCTAGTACGACTTCTTTTTCTTCTTCTACTGTGGTGCTGTTGACTGAGCAGCGTTTCAGCGGGTGCTCCTTGAATATCTGAACACAAAAGTCTTGCATTAAACACCAACCTAAAATTACGGCATCGTTCTAAATCTGGACAATAATAATTATTAATAATAACAAACCTTCAGTCGATTAATCTTTCAAATTAAATCCATCACACCAGATTAAAGGAGCTCTCATTAGGAAAACACTCATTTTGACCCCATGTTTTGAACAGCGTCCAAAGATTAGTCACTTTGGCTTAATGTCCGTTACGCAAACGAAAACTTCTCTCTCTCATGCATACCTTGCCCAGCTTGACGAAGGTCTCGCAGATGAAGATGAGGGAGATGAGGAAGGAGAAGATTTCCTGGGTGAAGCGGGAGACGTAGCGCACCAGAAAGCTGCCTTCGAAGGCCACCGTGACGATCACGATGACGATGAGCCATAACCCAATCCAGACGCGGCCCGTCAGGTACTCCATGTTGTTTGATTTGCAGAACTGTGGAGATGCAGAAGAGTGAGAAATGTGGACTAACCAGCGTTCATGTCGATGCAAGTCGTGGAAATTAAGTTATGGATCATTTAAGCTTGAAGTAAATAATTTTGTGTAGGAAACTGCAGCACAGTTGCTATAATTTAAGAGCAATTTAGAGCAAAAACAGCATAAATGACAGCATAGGAACTCTTTTCCACTTCTTCTTTTCCACTTCTCCACTGCCTTTGACATTATTAAAACATCTTGCACCTCCTATTTTCTGTCACATTTTAACAGTATAATTTATTCTGCTCATTTGGGGTGTACCTCAGGGACGATTCCTTGTGCCTTTCAATTTTACATGTCGTTTTTATTAAAATTAAACTTAATCTAAAACTTACACTATAAAAGGCTTCCTCAAAGACCAGAATGGGCCCAGAAAAACCAACGACCAGCAGCGGCTGAGCTCCGAGTAAGCAGAACAGGATTCCCTGGACTGCTGTCGAGATGATCAGCTCAGAAACCCCGATCAGTCCTTCAGTCTTCTCGCCTTCAGATAAACACATACAGAGTTTGTCAGTAAAACTTTAATTAGCAAAACATGAACAGAAAGAGATCTGAAAATCCTTCTTCAAAAGACCAGAGTTTAGTGGGCAAACATTTTCCAACTCTGATGTAGCTTTATTCTACGCAATTTACCTCAAAAACAAAAGAAAATACATCTGTTTGGAAGAAAAGTGTAATGTAAATAAGTGGAAATAAATTTTACCCAAGGTTGAGTCTTTAAGAGTTATTTTGCAAGTTGCACTGTGATTTGAAAATCTCTAATTTGCACATACTAAGAACAACAAGCAACAAAATGGAGCAGAACAATGTAAAGCTAAAGCTAAAAACATGAGACGCAGGAGTAAGCCTGAGTTTTTTAAACTGGTAGTTAACAAGACATGTGTTAGCTTGTGGAGAGGAGCAAACAATAAAAAGACTCAGTGAGTAGACCTATGAAGGCAAGTCAAACTGAACAGCTCAACTCAAACGATGGACAAAAACCAAAGCAGTAAAGTAACATAAAGGGTGTAAAAGCTTTGGAAAGGATTTATTATGCTCTCATTTCCAACATTACAAAACCCTGACATTATGAAATGAGGAGACACATCCGTACCTAGTAAACCTCCAAATGTGATAGCTGGAGAGAGAGCAGCAAAGTAGATGAAGATGACCGCCGCCATGCACTGGCTGTTCAAGGCGTCGCTGAAGTCGCTGATGTATTTTGGGTATCGACGCTGAATGTCTCTTATAAGGCCTCCGAAGGGGCGGCCCGTGCGCTCCAAGGGGTCGTCTGACTGTTTTGAAGGTTTGAGAAGGGCCTCTGGGTCAGAAAAGACATTCAAGTTGTTATAAAGCAGTTTATCTCACTTTTTCAGGCTGATCAGACCACTTGTATCATATTCATGACCTGTGTGGTTTAAGAAAAATCTACAATCAACTAAAACTTGGGCACCAGGTCCCTTTTTTTTATTGTTTGTAATTTTTTTTGTAGCATTACTCCACCCTTGAATTTTTTAAATTTGTTTTATGTAACAAGTTACCTTAAAAATTGAATTTTGGGTTTTCATTACTTACCATAATAATAACCATCCAATCATCTAAAACAGAAATAATTACTAAAAATGAAACTCTCTGAATGAAATATGTGATTGATTTACTAATATAAATCAACATTGCAATGATATTCTCACTTGTTAGGAGTTCGCAAAATGGTAACCATGGTGACTCAGGCAGCATATCAATGAAAGTTGTAAGTGTATACATAATGCAAAGTAATAAACAGTGATCATTTGACCAGTTTGCTGTTGGTCCTTAACACGATAAAATAATGTTTTCCCTTGACAGAAGAGCTGACCTTTGTCCTCGAAGCTTTTCGGCTCTTTAGCCAGCAGCTTGACCTGCTCTTGTTCTTCCCTCTTACGGAGCATTTCTCTCTGGAAGCGAGCAACAGAGCGAAGCAGCTCGTCGTCTCCCATCTCCGATGGCGGCAGAACGATACTGCAGTCCAAGAAGCTGTTGATGGCATTCAGCAGGTCCTGCCTGTCGTCCGCCAGGTAAGCTGCCTCATGAAATTGCTGTGGACAAAAGACAAATGCACAAAAATCAACTCAACATGTGTTATTTAGGACTTGTTTCACCAATGCACTCCTTGGGTTTGCAGCACGCCCGACCAAGGCCGAGTTTCACAGTTTCTATTTAGCTGGACTTTATATTCAGGTAAGTTTCACAACTGAATATAAGGGTCACGCAATAACACCAGAATAAAGTGTAATTGTTTGAAAACTTTTGTGATGATAATATTGAATAGAAAGTTAATCTTTTAACACATCAGCATCAAATCATTAGCAGGACTATTTCAAAGAAAGATCAACACAACTTGAGCTTATTACATCAGATCCTGATAATGAAGCTTTCCCCCCCTCATTAAAACTCTTAATTTAAGATGTTTCTGGTGAAACTGCATAATTTTTCTGCTAATATGATGACTACTTTCTGGTAATTAAACAAAAATTCTCGTAGCCTGCTTTTAATTCTCCATCACGCAACTCAGAGAAGGGATGACTAAAACTAAAACAAATGGCACCTTTTGAAAATATTTCCTGTAATTTCTTTAGAAAGAAAACAAGCAAAATCAACTAAACTGAGATCTGGCATGAGAAGCCCAGCCCCAGACAACAGCATCCATTTATTTTTCTGCTCACCTTGTCAGACATGAGGGTGGAGATTGAGCGTCCAATCTGATGGTAGTCCATGCTGGTGGTTGGAGGTCCAAGCAGAACGAAGAGGAATCTGACGGGAACAGGAACTTCCAGAACGGACTCCAGCTCCACCGCCTCCTGGAGCCTCACAAACGCCATGGTGGGCTGCTCCAGGAAGTCGACGCAACCTGGAAAAACACAACAAAAGGCAAAGGAGTATTAAAGCAGATGTTTGTTTTTTTTTTGCTTTCCTTTCGGTCTCCACTCCTCCTAAAAAAAAAAACTTAAAAAAAAAAAAAAAAAAAAAAGGAAAGAAAAATTTTTGGCCAATAAGTTAAATTTTGCCCCGCTAGAAATGTGGCGATTTGAAAAAACTCCGA